CTGGTTCTCCCCCACCTTCGTCATAGCGCTGGTGGCCCGGCGGCTCCGGCGGTGGCGCGAGTCGCAGCTGTTGGACTCCTCGAGTGGGACTTTCAGCGGAGTTCCCGTCTCGCACTTCGTGGGCATCGATGGGGTCAGAGCGTTTCTCCACTCCTACTCCCAGGAGGCGTCGCTCACCGCGGGCTCCGGGAAGAGCCAGTTCAACTTCCCCCAGTCAAACTATGCAAACACTCTGACCAGCGCGCAGACGTGTGAGGTAAAGGATCCTTTCCTAATGGCCGAGGAGTTAAACATTAGTAACGCGGATCAGTCCTCCGTTCAGGTGAGCTAATCTTTTTTGTCACTTTTTTATTTGCATGGAGGTATGGCGCTCTGTGAAACTGACACAGTTGTCAGGAAAGTTTTGTGAAGCCAGTAAAGGCACCTGCATTTGGAAGTAGATTAGGTGATATTGTAACCGGTGGAGTATTGGTCGGTACGTGTGGCGGGAACGCATTTTTACACCCTTTTGTTAACTCGCACAGATCTGGGACACTTAAGGGATCTTCTGGTAACATTTGTGTTCCTTTTGTTGGTCCTGTGAGAAAACTGAGTTTACCTCTCGAATACCGTGTAATTTATCCCTATAGACGCTTTTCTTGGCCTTTAAAAGTACAAGCAGGGTTCGTTCAGTCGGAGGCGTCTTCTCTTCTTTTGTTTCTTTTCTGTGGAACAAAACGAGAATTTTTGTATATGGACAAAAAAGCACCTTAAAGTATAAAACCCAAATGTGTGATTCTCACGAGGTTAGCCCGAGGTGCCCTGCTCTTCCCAGACTGGTAACATTTCTGTCAGATCCTGTTCCCGAAAGATCATTTCTTGGATCTGTACAGAAAATTGGGGGTGTGGGAACGGTGGCTCCACAGGTGGCACAAAGTGGAACCTTCCTTCTTTCCCTCCACGTGCGCAGCGCCCTTCGGAGAGCTGTTCGGAGTACTGCAAATGGAGCATCTGTAAAATCACGAAGAGAACACGAGGCTCAGAGCGAACCGGAGGTGTCGCTGTTCACAACTTACAAGGGATCGAGAGTTGGAACATCGCGTGTAGCGAGAGTGGGCGGGGGGACCCTCGATCTCTGCAGTTCCTGGAGCTGCGCCGGCGCCGTGCTGCGATCGCTGCTGCTGCAGTTCTGGGCTGAGGCTCCGAGTGCAGGCGGGAGCCACAGGCGGCTCCTGCCCTGCGCTTGCTCCGTCACACGGCGCCGGGCGGGGCGGACTCTTCAGGAGACACTCCCGGTCTCGCCAGGAAAAGGAATCTCCTGGCAGCGCGAGGCACCGCTAGGCGGAGAACCGGGGCCCCGTTCGCTCTTCCCTGCCGCGAGCTGCCCCAGGCCACCAGCTTCCAAACGGGCACGTAACCCCAGCAGAGAGCTGCACGGGAGAGGCG